TATTCAGGTCGGTGATACTATCTTGCTGTCGATCCTAGCTTATGGCAATTTATGTGGAGGAGTAAGCTATGTTCATACAGCACAAGGCATGTTGTTTTCCATGTAGGTCAGAAGCTCATCATGTGAACATTACACTATTAAAATAGGAATTCCGAAGTACATAGTTGCGGTTACTCCCTATGAATAATTGTTATACCATGACAGATGAGATGGGCTTCCTCTTCAAGTGAAAGCAAAACAGGTTGTGGAAGCACCTAGAAAAAAACCTACATCGTACTTCTGTTTGTATAGAGAAAGAGGCATATAGTGGTGTAAGATAAGTGGTACCTATACCATACCATACCGCCACTCCCTCATAATATATATATATATATATATACATAGAGCACACTGCTCATCAGAAAAACAGTTAATGTTTATGTGTACATTGACCTTTTTAGATTCACTAAAATAGGCCACCCGACCAAATTTCATTGAGCATCAGCAATTAGGGTAAACCATGTAGCCTGGCCTAACGGAAATGAGGGCAACGACCGTTTAAGAGATGTTGTAATAAATACACTGACCTCTTTAACCTGTTTAACATATTTGGTTATACTTTTGTGAAAATCGAAAAACACAATATTTATACACAGTTATTGAGTTTAATAACTGTTGCAATGTATATGATGCAACATTACATATTTTGCCAATCATTTTATTGTTCATAAATGATAAATTTTCATTGTATTTTATTGTTAGTTCAATAATATTATTGCGTGAAAAATGATTTGGGCTTTGTAAAGAAGGAGAGTTATTACTAAATTGCTAATTACAATGGTGAGTTCTAAAATAAAAAAGGATGTATCAGTAAGTTTTACTGAGAATTTATATATGATGTTAAACTTAGGGCATTATATCGAGGTTTCTCAGTATATGGTATAAGATGTTAAACTTAGGACATTATAACGAGATATTGTAACAAAAGACTGGCATACTATCGAGGTATTACTGAAGAAGAATACTAAAGGAGGTGCATGATATAGAGATATTACTTTATAATGACACAAGAATGACCTTATATCGAAATTTGACTATTAAATAGTGGTAAACGATGGGCAAATAAAAGAAATGTTGCCTAAAATTCTGTTACTAGAACAAAAAAGAGGTTATACAGTTACATCAGTCAATTTTTAATGCATACAATAATTTTGTTGAACGTATTCACAGATATATGTTTTCAACCAAATTGTTTTATTGAAGATTTTGTTTAAGGAATTGTTTTGTTACCAATCTGTTAATAATGAACATGTTATATATATATATATATCATTATCATTATTATTTTATTTTTAGTTACTTTAGATAACAGAATAATCAGTTTTATCACATATTACTTTACGTTATGTTATTATGTATTTCATGATTCGGATTAACATAGAACATATTCATTGATTATTAACGTCACTTGTGGTCATATCAGCTGGCCAGTATTTCATCAAACACTTAAAAGTGGACAATGACCACGTTTGAGTCTGATAAACGAGATACGTGCATAACATTTGAAACTACGTCCATTTTTTATATAAAATATATACTTTAATGGTCGTTTAAGTATTTACCAGTTGTTATAATCATCTTATTTTCAATTGTTATCTGACCATGATCTCGTGTTGGTGGCCTTCACTTGTAATCTCTTGAGGGGAAATTTAGAATATCTCAACAAAATGATTGCTTATTTTTAAGTTATCAAATTAACTCATTCACCCCTGAAGACACTTTTGAACTCTTCCAATTCAAAGGTTGGAAAAGTTTATAATAAAATTTCAGGGGTGAATGAGTAAAAGAAAATATGCCAGCTATACGTGTTGCTATCTCCATTAGGTTCCACACGAATTGTCCTTAGGGTGTACCGTAAATTTTGTCGCTTCTTCTTTGGAAATTGATGCGAAGGTGTGGCTTTTAATGGACTTTGGTCACTACGCTCCCAACGAAATGACCACAGGGATAGGGGATTCATTAAACTTGGTGTCGTTATATAAAATATTCATCTCGGTAACGTCAAAAAGTTTATTTTCTGTCTGAAATGTTTTAGTTTCAGCGTACTACTATAATTAATTATCATTTTAACTCATTCACCCCTGAAATTGCACGATGTACTATTCCAACCTTTGAATTGGAAGAGTTAAAATGTGTCTTCAGGGGCGAATGAGTTAATCGTGTTTGTGGTTGTGAAAACCAAAAAAACATGGAATACGTAATGCAGGTATCCATTCTTACGTTGAAATCCGCATCACCGATGTAGTGAGTGTCTCGTTTGGTGAAGCAGTGCTAGCTATACTCTTCTTCGTGGAGTACACAGATTCTCTAAATACATAATGGCAATCTGCCAAACGGTTTGTATGTCAGAACTGAGCGTAAATATCACCAATTGCGCATCCACCACAAGACAAGCACGTAAACCTGTTTCCAGAATTAGCTCATCGTTCTATAAAAATAGACCAGCCGTTCTGTGGAGGCATAGTAGAAGCTGCTGTTTCTCCTCCATACATACCTCGTGTTCCATTTATTAATTGCTGACGGTAATTTATATAACACAAACTAGCTATTATTAAATATACACAGTGTGATTAAATGTTCAAAACACAATTTATAATGCAACTGCTCCTTTAAAAATATAGTTGAAAAAGAGGACTGTGTATATTTTCTTCTAAATATAATTGAGTTTAAAATATTATTATTTATAGTGCATTACACTAACCATTCCATGCATTTAAACTGTCAGTTATTTGGATTGCTAAGTTTCCTATCTGTCAAAAGACAATTGTAATATGTTTGAAAAATAAAATGATTTGATAAATTAATATTCAAAATGAAAAAGTAGTTATAAATGGTAAATATAAGATTGGCTATGCAATTACCAATGATTCTGTATTTTATTCTCCTATTTTTTTTTTTTAACCGGATGAACTTATTATTAATCACTCCACTGCTAGAATGACCCTTAATTCTTTCACCCCTAAAGTCACATTTGAACCTTACCATATCAAAGATGTGGCAAATCCAGTATAAAAATGTAGGGGTGGTGAAATAATTGTTTGAGCTTTTTTGTTTTGTTTATTTTTACTTTTTTTTTCTACTTTTTTTTCTTAATAGTTAGAACAACAGTGATGTTCACTGTTCAGATATACATTTGTGTCATCTGGTAAGGTTACCGGGAAATATTCGCTTTTAATTTCGCCCTCCTTCATGAAGGCGATTTTTTCTTCTTGTCTGCCATTATTTTTACACACTAGACAGTAGAACATACATAGGAAGTTCAATTGCACTTGGCGAATATTGCGTTCATCTGTGAAGGGCAGATATCTGACTAAGCGAAACACATTCCGGTATATAATATTTTATTGCTTGAATACAATAGGCTTAGATACAAGTCAGCTAATCAACACCTTCACTCTTCAATATATGGCACACTTGAGGCAGTATTGGCGGCACAATAACAACATTTATTGCTTATTTTTACCTGAAAACAGGTACGAATGACCGATAATAAATATCTGCTACTGTGCTTCATTGTATTGGAAATCGGTATTTACAGATTCTTCAACTCTCAATGTGTAAATTTATGATAAAATGTAATCGTTATCTATGCTTTAGCATGGCAAATACACATTTGGGATCAAATATGGGACTAATAAGTCAATACAATGATATATTTAATGAATATTGAAAGCGTTTCGCTCCTTGCTCTAGCTAGCATAAAATTGTTCCACTAGACTATCGATTCGTCTGTGTAGCTAATGTGAGGAATCGAAAAACGGCGCGGTTGTCACAGTTACGTTCCAATACTAAATATTGGCCAGTCCTGGAAGGAGGCGGGTCTTGGACGCGCTAACTAGAGTGAACTTATTTATTGATTTAGCTTGTTTATATGTATGCGTGTGCAGATTAGCTTCTGTTAGTTTACCGAACTCCCTGACAACAGCTTTTGAAATAAGCGTTCAGCAAGGTCTTCGCTGAACATGTTGCATTGCCTACAGGACACTTAACAAGGCCAGTTTTATTTAATAAGGGTTTTCGCTTAAATAAGCAAAGTTTTAATATGAGTTCAGATATACGTCTAGAATGAATTTATGATAAGTGAACATGTGCAGATAAGCAATTAATAATACCTTTTTTGTGTTTGTGTTCAGAAAGGACCTAGAATAAACGGACTATTTGCACAAAGGTCCCCAATAAAGCGGAATATGTCTTCAACTAAACGAAGCAAAAGCTCCCCTCAGTGAAATTGAGTATAAAACATTATTTCTAAACAAAACGAGATATGTGGAGAAAAGTCCTCAATAAAATGGAGTAAGTGGGAAAAGGTCCTTTATAAGCGGAGTATGTAGAATGAGGTCGTCAATTAAATGGAGTTAGTGCAAATAGGTCCTCGATAAGACGGAGTATTTAGAGCGAAGTCCTCTATAAAACGGAGTATGTACAAATAGGTCCTCAATTAAACGGAGTATGCGTAGATAAGCCCTAAATAGAACGGAACAGGTGCAGATATCCTTAAAAAGTGAAGGTACATTGGAAAAGGTAGCTAACACTATAGAAATGTGTTGTAAATATACTAAGTCACTTCTGTTTGATGTAAAAAGAGAAAGCTCAAAAACTGGTATAAGATTTTCAGGTTCAAAGACTCGAAAAAGCCTATAGTACTGAACCTCTATAATATTGTCATGGAGGTGGGATTTTTCTTTCTATATTTCACAGGGGTGATACATTCTGGTAGACTGGTAGGCAGGTACACTGTGACAAATGTGTTGAGCATTATGTCATACAATGTCATAGAGTGATACATAACACTCCTTCTTTTATTCTCTCACCTTCTAACAGTCCATAGTATATATTTTTACAAAATCAAAATCTTAACATTGGAAATATATGGATCTATATTTAACTTATCTGACAGACAATGGCAATAAATAAGTTGAATAAGCTTTGCTATATATTTAAATATACGTTATCGTTTTCAGTCGGTCGTGCACAAGTCTGGATTCCGGAGTTTGGCAGATGGGGAGGAGGTTGAGTTTGAAAGCAAACCTTCCGATAAAGGTGTGGAGGCGACGTTTGTTTGCGGCCCCTCGGGATCTGAGTGCAGGGGAAGTGACAGAAGACCTCTTTCACGAAAGAAATTCAGAAAAATAAGGTGATTTGAAGTTCTGCAAATCTAGTTTAGTCGAAATTATACCTGAAGTAAAAACAATTTATTATTTTCATTTGAATATTGTTTTCATAATAGAGGTGTAGAATATTCATTTAAAAAGAAATATATCAAGCAACATTTAGTGAATAGTGTATTAAAACGATATAAATGTTAATGTTAAAAATAAGGATATCATCCATTGTATTTGTATAGATGTTAAGAAATGATATTCAATATAGATGTAATAGAGAGTCATATTCATTATATATATAATACCACTTTGTTTTCATTATAAATGTAGTAGAAAGTCATATTCATTATAAATGAAGAAGAGAGTCGTATTCATTATAGATAAAATTAAACGTCGTATTCATTATAAAAGGAATAGAAAATTGTAGTCATTATAACAGTAATAGAACGTCGTATGTATTCATTATCAACTTAATAGAGAAAAGTATTCGCAAGTCGTAAAAACGTCATTTCATTATAAATGCAGCAAAACGTCATATTCATTATAAATATTGTTAACTGAATAGAAAGTTGTATTCATTTAAATGTAGATGTAAAAGAACATCGTATTCATTATAATAACAATATAATAGAAAATCGTATATATAATAAATGTGATAGAAAATCGTATTTATTATGAATAAAAAGAAAGTCGTATTCATTATAAATATTTTACTATATCGTATTCATTATCAATTGAATAGAAAGTCGTATGCATTAAGAAAAATAAACACTTTTGATGAAGTTGTTCTAAGAATTTCGTTAATATCAAAGTGATTACTTAATTTAATAGGTTCAATCAGAAACATATAAATGATTATCAGGATGGTCTCAGATTTTGAATCAGTTCTTAAAGGTTTTAAGTCATTTGCCAATTACGTATTTTTAAGTTAAGTACAATGTATATTATAAACTATACGAAAACGGGAAGCATACTGTTGCTTCAATTATATTAAATATTGCGATCTATCAAACTATTTTTCGATAATGATAAATGCAAATAAAACAAATTACCACAGTGACCTACATCGAAAAATATTAGATATATTCCTTTAATCTGATTTCAATATCATCCGATAAATTGGCACAAACTGATTGATATTTTGTAAAAACAAAGTTATTTGTTCATCAGCTGTGATATTTCTGTCTTTAGTCAATATTGTCTGACTATTAAAATATATTTATAGCACTGAAGTATAACTATAAATGCATTTTTCCATAACTGCAATATTTATATTTAGCCTCTATTGTAAAGCTATTACGTTCTTTAGCCATTATGGTTTAATAATAAATACATTTATCAATACTTGTAATATCTCTGAATAGACCAAAAATCTTATGAATATAAATAAAAAAATCTATATCTGTAGCTTTTCTTTATTTAGCAAGTATTATACAAATGCTGATACACTTATTCGTACGGGTAATATTTCTATATAGAGTCACTATTGTGTATGATTAATAGATTGATTGATTGATTGGTTTGTTTGATTAACAGGTGATTAAATGACAATACATTTTATAATTAATTCCTAATAAGATTAAAATATTTTACATTAATTGAATATATCGTAACAAGCTAATTAAGTGATTGACTAATTGATTGATTGAAGTTTGTGATAGTTTTGATTGATTAATTGAAGATTGTGATCGGGGTTTTTTTGCTATAGAGATTATCGATTACTGTTACTAGCATGCTGTGTGATCTTCTGTATGTTTTTGAAGTGTAGTTCTTGACCACCTAACTAGTATATGGTCTTTTCAATATCCCGTCCTTAATTCTGTATTCACAGGTGCTACAATTGCGGTGATCTAGGGAACCATATAGCGGCTAAATGCCCTCATGGTCCCTTACCAAAACGCTGCCACAACTGCAAGTCTGTCGACCATTTGATTGCTGATTGCCCAATGAAGGAACCAGTGAAACGGTCGCGTAATGATACAAATGGCGGAGGAGCTTCCGGTATGGGAAATGGGCACGAAGCGGATCACGGTAGTAATATGTTTTACCCCGTTTGATGACAAGAGATGACTACTGATTCCACTTTCAGCAGGTATTTTGTGTGATTCATGAACAAATGAAGTCATCTTTTAGTGCTCTGGATGTGAAGAGGAGACTATAGAAAAGTTACATATGCCTATAACGGTTAAAAGGAGATCACCAAGTCAGTCAAATGTTACGCACATTTTGTTTTCAAAAGTCGTATTTTTTAAATTGACAAATACAACTACTTCATCTTGATAACTATTTCGATTGTGTTTCTTATTTCGAGAAATAAGGTTTCGTCTGAAGCCTGGTTGTCCAAGCAGTTTTCCTACCAAAAAAACGGCAATTTCAATATCATTTTCATTCTGTGATAATTAAAATATTGAAATTGTAATATCTAAATCAACATATACGAGGATTTTTAGTAGTCCTCTGATAATAAGAAACATCAATATTAGTAGATGAAGCTTTGAAATATAAGGTCATGTGATTGTTTACTACCATATCTAATCCAGTGTATGGGCTTGGGTATCGGACTGAGAGTGATGTAGACAGTGAAGCGAGCAGTTGTCTTTCTGTGACTTTTTAATCAACGTGACCTACCTCATCAACGTTATTTGAATTCCGTATAATATGATCTATTTGTAATGTAAGTTGTTATTTTCGTGTTATTGGTCAGATAACTTGTGTTCGTTTTAATGATGTATAAACATGTGTTTGTCAGGAAATTTTCAAGAATTCAAATCACGTTTAAACACAATTTAGTTTGTCCAGTAGTAATAAAATGTCAAAAACGAAATTAGGGAGAGAGATAAAATACAATGAAGTTTATTGTACATCCTATTTTTAACTCATTGTTCTCTAGGAGCTATATTAAGCCGCTGGTGATTTTTGTTTTGTGCGTTTTTTGACTATTTGATTACCTGTGAATTTTTCCTGATTAACAAACTTGAAAACAATATTTAACCTTTTTCCAAACCTACCTCATATTTGTGGGGTTGCTATGTTGTGAGTTGAAGCATGTCGTATTTGTATACGTTTTTGATACCGGAGTTATTATTTTGCATTACCGTTCTTACAAAACAAGAGAGATTTAAACGAGAGAAGTCACGCCCACGAATAATTCACGACTGTGTGTATACTTAGAATTTTTCATAGAATTTTTAAAATTGGTTTATGTTATTTTTCTAGGTGCTTTATGATACAAGACGTGACATCTGTTTATAACATTTACAGGGTCAGTTTTATCCTGGTGACAAATCATAGAAGAATTAACAATAAAACATATACCAAAACACGATAGTGAAGTGCAAGGCAGCTGTCTAATAATAAGAGTCTAGGTGGAATTATCATAACAAGAGTTCAGAAATATTCATGACGTTTGTGGAAATATTATACAAAATTATAACTACAATATAACAGAGCTACAGAAGACAGAAGACCAAAGCAAGATTATTCTTGAGTTATTCTTGAGTTATTTTTCAATATATTTGTTATGATTTAATGGTGCTTGTCGAAACTAGTCAAGCGTCGATTTGATACAAACACAAATATTTTGTTTTACTTTAATTATTCGTTTGTGGAAGAAGATTTTCATTTGATCATATTTCATTGTATTTCCATTCCTAATATCAAACATTTTATGTGGATCACGTGATCAAATATTTTGTGTGTCACATGATCAAATATTTTGTTTGTCACGTGATCAAATATTTTGTGTCACGTGATCAAACATAATATATATGTATCACGTGATCAAATATAATATATATTTATCACGTGATCAAGCATTTTAAGTGTGTAACACGTGTTTTCTCGAATTGATCTAATCTCTGGTGTTTCCTGTATCTACCAAACAATTACGGGATCAGGTCAATATCAAGCAAACATAACCATTCTTCCTTTAAAACTAAGATACAATGGTGACATATCTATTTTGAAAGAATGTAAAGCGATGTAGGTATAATTTTTTGTGTGGACGTAGAAAATATTATGACTTATTTTTCGACAAGAACTATATTGCAAGTGACCTAAAATTTGACATATTTGTGTTCTATAAAGAATCCAGTTTCCTGCTTATTTGTGTGGTATGTTGCAAATGATAATCTACTGCCATTTCATACGCTATTAGGTACTGATCAATTTCAATTTTTGGGTGTCCAATTATTTGACGTTAGTTAAAACATTTATTATTGGTTATTATATACTGTTGTAGATGTTTGAAGTATACCCTGCTACATTTCGCATTGTCCTTGATTGAAAATATGCACGAAGCATACTCTATGTACCATTGATAATGGTGATTTTCCAATCAATTTCTTCGCACTAAAATAAACGCAAGACTATTACCACAATATAACATTTTATTATATATCTATATCGTCATCATTATAAAAACAAATATTCCGCATATTTTATCTTCAAGTGTGATGTCGACATTTTTTAATTTGAACAAATGTTTGAAATTCAGTGACAAACACAGTGTATCTCAAATCTGGTCGGTTGATATATAAGGATGTTTTAAGTGTCATGTGGAAGGTTTTGTAAGTAATTTAGAGATTTTTCTTTAACAAAGAATGATCATCATGATGTGAATATTGAATTTGATTAAAGAATTGTGAACCAATGCGTCTTTATGTGGTTTACAACTACCGGCAAATAAGTGCTATGTTTCTTACACCCCC